AAATGGCGAAATGTAGGACGAACTTAAAATGCGTGAAATGTGTGAACTATAACAAAGAACGTATTCTTATGAAGATTATTAGCTGTATGAATAAGAACAGGCAGATCAATTTTCCTCAAAGACAACGGTAACTAATTTTTTAAATTAAGCGGAAAATAGGAATGGGTTATGCCTTGACCAGAGCTGCCCTTGTAATTCAACATTCACAATCTTTCCCTCGGTCAACGGTGTTTAATCTATGCAGATAATAACGCGTTGTTAAAGCAGCTAAGAATTAAATAAGAAACAAATGCTTTTCATTACACATTCATGCTACTTCAGTATTTACTTTGGATCTGTTACATTCCACACGGATGAAACTCTTTGTACCGTCAAATGTAACATATAGATGTTACTGCGTTTGAATACAACAACGCAATTATACAATGCCCAAAATATTTCGACTTTTCATCATGTTATTGTGGAGGGCTTCATACATTACACTATCAATTAAAAAAAATTATTAACTGCGGGTCATTATTAAGATGTATTTACAGTTGTGTTGGGAAACATTTAAAAAGGTTAAACCTTTGTTGAAACTACATCCTTATTGGGTATTTTCGTCAATTCTATGTTATATGCATATGTCGAACAAGAAAAACATCTGAGTGAGATTTCAGGTTCTCAAGGCGGCAGGTATGAAAATGGCTGTCTTCCGGGATGTTGCGACGTGTAGTCTGGTAGGATTTTACTGATTTTTCCGAACTGCCTCCATCATCTAGGTGATGAGTTGGTCGCGTAGCTTACTCATCGCCTTGATGATGGAGGCAGCATGCACCTAAGACTAAACGATGCAATATCTCAGAAGAAAGTCATCTTCTTTCAAAACTTCAATCCCTTTATTGTAAACAATGTAAATATACCTCAGTGGTTGATAGTATTGTAAAATAACCCAAGAAGTGATCAGCTGCGGTTCACACATTAAACTACTGCATTTATTTTCCAGATAATTATGGCGATTGTCGCACAAGCTCGTCTGTGCTGAATCATCACACGAGTTCCAACGTTAACAACGGGCACACCGGCCTCAACCTTCTCGGACACGGCGGTAGCAGCAGTAGCACTGCCCTGGTAACCGGCTCGTTGACATACTCAGGCCTCTACAGCTCAGCTTCCGCACAACCACTACCACTTCAACACGTAACATCGTCCCTCCAGTACCACAATTCGCCACATCTGCACCATCAGAGTGGTGGGAGTAACACTGAAGTGTCGAGTACACCTGTCAATCATTACTACGACCTCATCCAGCATCACATGAACCACTCCAGCGGTCAGCATGTGACTACAATACAACCCCCTAAAGTGGAGTGCCCATCGCCTCCGGCCGGAGATCTACAGGGGAACAGGTCGCCAGGGCTTATGCCATCGCATTCACCTGGGGAAACAGGCCTTGGAGCATCACCGCACATCGTTACCTTGGGCAACAACAACAATAACAAAGTGGTAGTCATGGGTAACGGAGACAACAATATGGACAGACCTACTGTAGTGTCTATGTCATCGTAGACAGAATCACAACACCATAAGAAACTGTTGTCATATACCAAGGCTGCTATGAAGTGCCTTTAAAGGTGACTTGTGAGCTAGTTTAGGGGCTCTGTACCATTTGGACGTGAAATATAATTAATTATGCTAGGTCAGTGGGGCGACTGAGTTAAGTGTACAACGAAAGTAGATGCTTGCATATCTAAATAACAACTGATTCGGTTAAGACACAGAAAAATCAGAGCTATCAGATTCTGTTAACAAATAACATTCTAGACAGTGGACGAAGAAAAATTCTTATTGGTACCTATTCTCTCTTTGCATGCTGATACATTTCTGGCCTTAAAATTATTTAATAATATAAAATTACCTTCTTCTTAGTGAGGCAAACGTTAACTTCCATTTATTCAGCTTAGACAGTCAAAAAATTCCTCGTATTTTATAACGCATAAGGTCCTCTATCGTGTTCAAGAAACTCTACCACTCTACCCTATACTGAGCCAGTTTTCCATCAGACAATTTGTACGCGTTTGAAATGGCATACCCTGTCCACTTCCTCGGTAATTATTTCGTGTGAAAATCGCTTACTGAATCAAGACCGACCACGCTACAGCATAATATAGTAAATCAGAGGCCAGCACCAACACTGCACTTCATACAGTTCCTTACCACCACTTGAATCACCCTGTTACGCAGTCAAACTCGGCGTCCTTTTCTTCTAAATGGACAATCCCTGAACATGCCACAGCTCAATTGGAAGTGCCAGGCCTCGAACATCACAGCAACCTCCTCCCACCCCATCAGGTTCTTCTAGGCCGACATTTTTGGACATGACGAGCCTCCCCACTAGGCCAATGTGGGAACGCTTTTGGGGAGGTATTTATTTCAAATTTAAAATAATAGTAAAAGTCGTTACCCCATCTGTTTACACAGAGAAGACAGTAATTTACATTTTTAACAACAGACCTAATTCTCTTAACAGAGAAGGTCAGACTTAGGTGCTGATTACCGCCCACTGTAAAGCACTTTCTTAATTATGTATATGCAAGTCAAGTGTAGGTTTCTCCATTTAGAATGCGATCTTGTGGGTTGTGACACCATACAGTTACAGAGATGGTAATCATCTGCAAGGCTATACAGTGTTACCTCTCAGAAGATCACTGTTGGCAGTTACCGCAGTGAAAACCTCAAATTCCCTATTTTGATCCATAAGTTGGTTCACTCTCATATTGGTTGTAAAAATCATTCAAAATGTTACTGTTCCATGCTGCAGTTGGTGCGTGTCGATTTATTGGCCAGAAGAGAAATCTATTTCATCCGAGTATCAACAGCTAAATTAGAAAATCAGCGTTTTATTGCAGCATTATCCAACATAGGCCTAACTACTTTCCTTAAAAATGAAGTAGTTTAAATTGTATAACTTAGAACCCACAGCAATTTCGCTTTTCAGAATCATTTTCATTTCGATGCCACGGACACTCTCATATGGAGTAACATCAGGTTATAGCCGTCGTGCATTCAAGAGTAGACCTCTCTGCCGCTACACTCCGACTTCTAAAAACTGCACAAATCGATTTCACTGTTTCGTGTATTTATTTCGATGTGGTGGCCGATGTTAGTATGATAGTTAATGAAGACTCAGGGAAGACAATAATGGCCAGTAATTAACCTGATATTTGAAAGAACATTACTTTTATTAACAAGTTACATAATAAGGCCATAACAGAGAAAGATGACAAGGTTTTAGAAAGAAGATGCATCAACGAAGCTGTCTGTTTAAAACAGCATTCATAAAACGTTGAATAATTACAGCGAAATATCAAATGTTATGCAAATTCAGATACAAAGTCCGTGGAATATCATCAATTAGGGTTTTATGAGCGACACATCAAAATGGTTGGAACACGCAGATATTATTCAAATATGAAGGCCTGCTCTGTGCGATCATCATGTAAATTATATCTCAATATCTGTCAAAAATACATTTTCACTACACAACGTCTTTAGAGTAATATTTACTTACTGAAAAAGACGTGTCTTTCATTAATGTATGAGATTAGTGTTGATGGCAATTTGCACAAATGACTCCCATCTACACGTTACGTCACATGGTCATTGCCTAACAGTGTTTTTACCTACGTGTTCGAGACTGATTGATTAGTCATCTTGCCGGGACATGCTTCATCAAAGCTAATACTTTATTGTAAAAATCATATTTAAACTATTGGAGTTTGCTCAACTTTCAATTCACCATTAAAAAATTGTAGCAGTTAAGCAGTGTGTTTTTTTGTGTGTGGAATATATTGCACAAGTATTACTTAGATCTGAAGCACAGTTACTTACTGTAGGACGACCGCCTAGCTAACAGAAGCTGTTTCACGCTACATAACATAGACCTTACTACGCTGAACAGTGCAAAGCGAATGTTAAAATGAAACACCTTCTTGTTCGTTATCTGCTTGAATACAAGCTGAATCACTTCATTGTAAATATACTCGTAATTTCGCTGCAGTCTGTTAAGTAATAATGCAGTTGCAGAACTCTTTTGCATTTTAAAAGTTTGTTTTAATTTATAATATATTAACACTCAATGATATGTATATTAGCTTCTTGTAATACTGGAACGGGCTTTTAATGTACAGATCAGTTTATTTGGTTCAGCTTTCGTATAAAATAGCCTAAATCGTTACAAAATTCTGGAATTGCCTGTGACTTCACTGTCGGAAGAAACTTGTATAATTTCACTCTAAAAAGATTGACACATAAAATATGCATGAATTAGTGGCTTATTTGATAATTTATAAACTCAAAATCGATGTTTAGAGCTCATGGCCTGGTTTATCTATTTTCATGTCAATTTTTAAACTTTGTATGTTCATTCCAATTCTGACATAAACTCGCATATCACCAACCAAGTGTAAGAAACGGCGTTCTCTTTTTAATCTTGGTCGAGATATTAAATAATCTTAACAATTTATATTACAAATAGAAAATGTATATATTCATTTGTTAAATGCGAAAATGAGTGTGTTATCGAGTCAAAGCCAGATGCCAGGAGCAGTAGAATTTTCACATTAAATTCCACGCTTCATTCAATATTAGGGATCTTACTCAAATACCATATCAGACTGAAAACTAACATGTCTATTCTAATATAACAGTCGAACAAAAATTTTACTTTCTGTTTTCAATTACATTTTTTTGCAGTATGCAAAAAGGGGAGGGTTCCAATACTGAATGGTTTCCTTTGTTATAATTTAGTACAGCTTGATTGTAGGTTATTGTGTATTGTTACTGTATATAGGCAATAAAACGAATTATAGGGGCGTGTGAAACTATGTGCAGTTGAATTCTGCAGTATTCGAAACAAATGAACCAGGGCTTCCCCTTAACTCGGGTTCTAAATATGGAGCAGATTTTCCTTCTGTTCCGTTCCTTTCACAAAGCACTTGAGCTTTAAGTAGCTCCTATGATTTTTTATGCTGAATAAGATTATATTAGAATACTCTTAAGTATTTTATGTTTTAAAATATGTATGCTTTGTATTTTGTACACACGTCATGATACCAAAGCACTGTTATTAATAGGATTACTCAGTTACAAGAGGACCCTCATATCTGAAGTATGTTGGTAGTGGACGAACTATCATAATCTACGACTGTATACTCTCGTTTTTCGAAGAATGTATGTCCCACTGAAAGCAATAATATAAACTATATTCTGTCTTGGTATACCTGTGATTCAATCACTGGAAATACGTTTCAAGTAAGTTCATTAATGTTGTATGTATATGTCGTGCAGTGGCATGGGATGTTCAAAGAGGTTTCTCTATGTGTGGGATCAGCTGTTTTTTTTCGTTCATGAGTCAAGTTTTATAATTTTTGGCAACTGCTATGTAACAACTGATAAGAATTGAGAATGACGTACGTAGGATTTGAGGATTTCACGGCTGGCTGTCCTCTTCGCCCTGATGATGGAGGCAGCAAGGACCTCTGAAACGACGGTAAACTCCTACCAGACTACACGGCATAATAACCCAAAAGACAGCCATCTTCAGAAAGACGTTATTTTAACTTCGTTATGAATAGTCGTTATAAATTCGGTAGTTAACATTCACACTTACGGTTCAATGAATTTGTCTGATATTTAAAAACATTTTATTTTACGGAACAAAAAGTTAAATGTAAGCATTTAAAATACAACGAAAATAATTTTTATTCAGTTCAAATCACTTCGGAAACAAACAGCGGTCCTGCGTGACCATCCTATGCCTGTGCAAGACGTGTGTCCAAATGTGTAAATACCTCAAGTGGATCATCGTTACGGACTCACATCTTTTGTATACTTCAGAAAGAATGTGAATCCGAAAGGATGACAGCATGTGGAATAGTTGATGATTGTTTGCAGCTTGTGTGTTAAAAATAATAAACTTTGCAAAAATAATGTGAAAATGGGGAAAATTAAATTTTACCAATTGTACAGCACTAATACAGAGAAATAAAACACACGTTGCATTGTCTTGTTATGTGCCATAATGTTAATCTGGTCCCTTATGAGTCATATGGAACAGCAAAGTTACCCCTGTGTATGCCTACAAACGCGAAATTACGTCGCCCGTTTTGTCCCCGAGGAATACCCACAAAGTTAGTGAAGTCTGGTCATGAAAGGAAAATTCCTCCATCTATTTCGAATCAAAACATCACAGACATATTTCATATTGAAACTGATGCTAATGTGTAACGTACTTATTTATGGTAGGATGGTTAAATTTTTAAAAGGTTCTACTACAGGGGTCCACAGTATGAAATGCGTGAAAATTAGGTTTAATAACGGCAGGTGCTAGACAGTGGTAACATGGAGAAATTTCACAGCAGACAATCCGACTGAAAATGGAAAACGATCGGTAAAGTATGCTTACGGAGCTGAGGTTAAGAAGGTGCTAAGCACATGCAGTCTCAGCTGACTTGGGGAAACTGTTAGAACTTTGAAACATAAAGTTAAATAATTAAACACTCATGTCAACATTATCTTCACTTGTTTATATTAAAATAATAACTTGTAACTTATACTGAGAGCGTTTAATGAATTTCATGTGATCAGAGATCAAATAAGTTTGTTGGTTATTGTATGTAGGCGTGGCAGACCCTATTTGCATTAACTGAAATCAATGGTGTATGAATTTTTACATCTTTTGGAGTGTCATAACCGAATTCTCCCACGTAAATATTCATATACGCTACATGAGATGCTACAGTACCTTACAAATTGATGCAGCATAGTGAAATGATTAAATGACTAAGCAAATTAAGGCGGTTATAAGCAATATTGTAGCATACTCTACTGGATTTAACTAAAATCTTGGAAGGGTCCGACATGCAGTTCGGTAATAATATTCTGATAATTGAGTGTGGCATGCATTTTTCAATGGCGGAGCCGTGTTAGCCCGGCTAACACAGTTAACATGAAAGCTCCAACCGTGTTTTTGTATGAGAAACTTACGTCTGAATCAGGTTTTCTCACCCTTTTTCGCTGGCGTGCCACTAATACTAATTTAACATATGAAATGTACCACTAAACAAATGCTCTAAGGGAAAACCTATTTATGTTAATATTATATTTTGATTTTCTTACTTTTTTCGCGTACCAGGTTGAGAAACGCTGGTCTAAATGTTTAATGTTAACGGAGCTGTGTAGTTCCATTACGTCTGCATGGCGATTATTTCCCTGAACAATATTAATATGTTAATCTTTGTGTCTTCTTTGAGGTGTGGACTGATTTCTGAAATAATATTAAACGAGCTTCAATTTCAAAGGTTAATGTAATGGTTGTAGAAAAATGAAACATACGTTTTAGGATGAACCCAATATCTACACTTAACCCGCATAAAAAGGAATTAATTTTGTGCCCTGTCATCACACCGGTAATTTCAGAACAGTTTCACTGATTTTGATCACATTCTACATTGCAAGTCCATTTACTTGTTAGCACGACGTCCGACGTTTTAGATGAATGAGTAACAACGAATTGCAGGACGCAGGTACAGCGAGAAAATGAGTGCTTCTAGGAAAGTAAAAGGACGCGTGAACCTAATACGAGAACGCGTTATTTGGTGCGAATTAAGTAAAGGATTAACGGATCCGCAAGATGAGAAACGCATAATTTTGATACGAAAATCTGAAGGGAAGAGATCACTTGAGAGATGTAGTTTCTGATGGGAGGATAAAATTAAAAAAACGGGTCTGGAAAAGATTAGATTTGTGGGTGTGGACTTCCTGAGTAGAGGCCAGCGATGGTTTTTTGTGACTCAGTTCTATAATAGCTATCTTTACTCATCAGATTCTGCGTCTAGGATTTAGTTACATTCGAAGAAGAAATTTGGTACTTTTGATACACAAAGGTAAATCATTACTTTTGTAGCGAACTGTAACTCTCTATTTAGTGGGTCGTGACCAAAGGTGGCCGTGTCTTTATGGCGCTTCATGTAGGGCCGACCCGTCTTATCAGCAAATGCCTGTTCTGTTTGCTCTTCCCGTTGCCACGGTTACCCTGTGATAACTACCTAGAAAAAACGACTTCATATCCGTCACATAGGTAACTAAGGTTCAATATGAATAGAGTTTAACTTGGAAATTAGTCCTTAATGGTTCAAGTCTGTATTCATATAACCTCCCGCTATATTGCTATAAGACCAATACGTCACTAGGGATAGGCTGTTTCAATGTTACGTAAGCTACATTTTTCATTATACCTTGTGATGTTTTAAGCGTTCACAGAGGTGTTATAAAAGTGATAAAAGATATGAAAACGGACCTTATGAATACAACTACATATAAAAACTGCTTATAATTTTGATTACCTTTCTGAGGTAAATTAAGTTTGGATGAAAGTAAAATGGCTGCCGCGTCTGGGTGTGTTGAATGGTAGTGAATCATTTCTGAGGACAAATATGTATCAATTCCTGTTAAAGAAGAAGACCGACCTGCTCCACATTTAGTGCCTCCACACACCGTCCAGTTTTCTCTCATTAACTGGAAGACGCTGCGCACAGCTACACGCATCGTCTGCTGAAGATCGCCAGGAAACGCCCGTGAGTTGCACTAGTGTCTTCTGTTCTTACGAAAATGTGATGTGCTTACGTTTATTTTACGAAATTTGTTCAGTACTATATTATAACGGTCTACACTTGTGTAGTAAATAGCGTTTGTTATGACAGAAAATAGATAATGAGTAGTATCACAGCGTTATCACCGTATTCTAAACAACACCGTAGATTGCACACAAGACGGCGATAAAGCTCCCTGAAATCTTTCTCTCATGGCAGAGCCCGAACACGAATATTCTAATCGGGATGTTCACGATTTGCATCTATGCACATATAAACACAATGTTCATTTGTTACACGTAGAAAGCAAAATATATTTCACTGCACAGTGTGTTTTCATCGTGTTTAAAGATATATGCATAAGTATCGATAAATTATAAAATGTGACCATGTGATAACACGTTTCGAGTCATGTACCAATTATCTGTAAAATACACTATTTCTTAAAGTTTGGTACATTCTGAATTGAGATGGTTATGAAATAATGGTTATAAAGGATGGAATAACACTAAAATTAGAACGACAAATTTTAGTCTACACTGCTTCTACCAAATTTTAACTCTCGTGTTGCTTGGGAAAAACATATAGTTAACTGTTTATATTGTCAGAAGAGAACGCATATACATCATATTTATTGATGCAATATAAATCGTTACAAAACAGAAAATAAGAGGGGGCATTTGTCCTCCAAATTCCACTGTTCCGAAGGTTCATCACACATTTTCTGAGCCATCTACTCCTAGCGTGCTATTATATTATGAGTCCAAAAAAATAATGTTTTAAAACGCGACGCCTGCAGTTTTAAAATTATTTTCTCTATTTATTTTGATGTGAATTAGATCTGTTGCACGTAACCTCTGGAGATAATGGAATTTATTTAAAAATAATACTTTTTAAATAATAAATCAATATGACTCACATAACTTAATTGAAACTTATTAGCTTGCTTTTTATCCCTGATGAGAGTGCATGGGTTGACATTCATACTGGAGACAATCACGGTTTACTTATAAGAAATCATTATTCTTGCACCTGATTGTGATCTAAAATTTATAAATGTTATTTAATGTTTTACAATACTATTTAAATACACATCTTTATCGCGTAACTTATGTTAGGTGATTTTAATACCTAAGCATAACTGGTTTAATGGTATCCAACTTATTAATCGTCACCACTACAATAAAATGTAAACGTCCTACCGTTTCTCACAGGTTTTCCAAATCTCTTATATATTACAATAAGAAGAAAATATTTTTTAAGAAATATAAGAAATTTATATGTTATTATCCCATCTATTCACCTCTTTATAGGGTATTTACTTCCATGTACCCTAAGGTACACAGTGCAACAGCTGTTTCCGAAATACATTTTGTTTTTAATACGTTCTACCTGTATTATATAGTTTTATTATTAGAGATGACTACATATTTTATGACAGCGTCTTTCGAATGATGTATGAAGATCCTAAAATGGCAGTTTTCTGCAGTTCCTTGATGTGTTTGACCGGAATGTTGGCCAAATGTTTTCTAAGTGACTTGGAGACAGTTCCAGTTGCTCCTATAATTATTTAAATTATTTTCGCATTATTATTATTATTATTAGAGTATATTTCGTATTGCCGTAAAATATTCAAAACTATAATTTGCGCAGATAGGTTGAATTTGTTAAAAACTATAAATGATAGCTTGACGGCCCAGCTTTTGGGAATACAGTTCAAGATTTGAAAAAGAATGATCAATCTATTGCCCAAATCGTCGTTGGTGTAAAAATTATTATGGCGCCGAAACTTATTTCAGAAGCCTTTGCAGACCATATATCTTCTATTTTTAACTTTTTTTCTGTTAACATTCCGAACAATCATGACTTCCTTGTTCTGATTTTCATATTTCATACATTTCTGATGCAGACGTTATGCGGTCTATTATCCGTCTTCGTTCGATGAAATGCGTCGGAACAGATGGCATCCCTATTTTTATAATAAAAGGTTGTTCTGAGATATCTGACACTCTTTTATGTGATATTTTAAATGCCAGTTTTTAACTGGAAGTTTTCGTCCCGATGACGGAAGTAGACAACTATATTAGAACGTATTGTGAGATTATGCTACATCACCCTAGTTCTTAATTATACACCAATTTCGTTTTTAAAAAAATTCTAAAAGAATGTTGAAAGTTTGTACCGGTAAATGATCATCTTCCTTTTAATATTAAATCTCAGCTACACAAAAATCAGTATGGTTTTGTTAAATCATACTGTACGGCAACGTATTTGGTTTCTTGCCTAAATTATGTTCTACCATCTGTTTGTTTACAGGGACAGTTTGATTCTGTCTATATTGGACTTAGCGCGGCCTCTATAAAGTCCCTCACATTTTTTATAGTATAGACCTAATTTTTAATTGTTTAAATTTTAATGTATTCCATAAGAGGTATCTCGATTCTGTGTCTTGTTATTAGTGTTTCCAAGAACAAAATAAATTGCCATTCCATCATGGACACTCTTGGAATTCCTGAGCTCACAAGGCAAAGAAGATCAATTTCTACTCTGAGTCCTACAAGCGTATTAAAACAAAGTCCTTTAGATATGTGCGTTACTGCTGGAGGTAGCGTGTATACATTTTTGGACATGTCAGCAAAACAATATTTCCTTTGAGGATACTTTCTTAACTTGAGAATGTTCTTAGATCGTTTAAATTATGTGTATTTAGTTTAGTTCTCTTTTTTTTTAATTTGGGTATGTATATACTAGTGTTTTCTTGTCATATGCTCCTTGATATCGGCAAAACTATAATAAATTAATTTAATTTAATTAATATTAAGATCACTTTTCAATTTCATTATGAAACTCATCGTCATCAGATAATTACTGCTAATTTGCTGCGACTCCTACTTTAACGAAGCTCTGCGAAATGAAATTTAATTTCGAGGCAGCCGCTCTGTTCCGAAACCCTTCATATTAAAGTTACAATATTGTACTTCAGCGCTGGCAAACAAAGCTGGTACAAAGTCCCATCTGCGTCGAGTGTAACCTTGTTCAAATAGCAGCATCCGGAAAACTGTTGTGCAACCCAGTGTTACAATCAGAAAACAAGGAAATTTCCAGTCGCTCTTGTATCTAACAATGGCGGAGTATCACGGACTTATAACATGTTTCTGAATACGCGAGGATGGAGTCGTTTAAAATATATTAAAGATATTACAAATTTAACAACCGTAAAGAGATAATGGCGAGAGACAGAGTTAAATTCTGACATTTCTCGAGGGTGACCAACATGAAACATACTTTGGCATCGTTGGAAAGGACACCGTAAAGATTCTCCCACGCGACAGAGTGGCGACGTTCTAAAAAATGTTCCGGGTCGGCTCGGACAGAGATGCCCATAAAACCAGAAGAACTAGGTCGCGTTATCCTCAGATTGTTGAATGACATTGATTGGAAAGAAAAGCCACGCAGTTTAATTAGAGTTTGTATGATTTTGTTTGGTGCGTTCATTTTGAACATTTTCAACAGAGAATTTTAAACTACTATGCAAAATGGTTCCGGGCGAGTGGCAGAGATTGACAATGCACAAAATCACCACTGTACCCCAAGTTAAAAAAGTCCTAGTCATTACCTCATATTCGGGACAGAATTCTCTATGGAGTAAAATATGATCTACTTATCACGTGCTATATTCCCCTAATTGAATCACAGATTTCATTATAATCCTCTATTTATTATTTTAATATTTACCTACAAGTAAGTGTAGGCTAGTTGTTTAATTATTACCTAGTATTGTGATAATTTGTTTCCGTAGTGATCTTGAATCAAGCCTCGAGGACGCTTGCAGTTTTGTCACAATCACCTCATAAGAAACGGACAATTTTTAAATACGCCTGATATTAGGGCCTACTCTTCTATGTAAACAAATTTATTTCTCACTCTTGGCCTTTAACTGTCATTACTCATCTCGTCTCCATAACCACATATCCTGAGCATCACAAACGCACGAAGCCTGTCACTTGTTTCAAACCACCGATACCCACTTTTCGACGTCTAGCGCGGAAGTAGTCGGACACAAGTAACCATGTACCAGCAAGCTAAGCTGGAAGCGATACACTGATCTAATATACGAAACATGGTACCGCATATCTTGTTGAACAAGAGCTGTAAAACATAGATATTGTCGTCGGCAGATCTGTAGCAAAAGCTAGCACCTTATCTTCGTCCATATGCTGCTGCTGCTGCCACAATCTTCGGGCCTTCTATCTCTCCAACACACACACGTATATACGCACATTGTAACAGAAACTGATTGTCTCCGAGGGTAACACATCGTTGTATTATACCCTACACACAAACTAAGAGCTCGTTGGAAAGGGAACAAGCTTAAATCACACTTACTTTCTTGGTGATAATACCTGGGGAATGATAATAATGTTTATCCAAGTTCCAACATCTTAACTCAAGATATTTCTGCCGCAGCGTGTAGCCAATCCGCTCAAAAGTTATAGGAAACAAAGTAACTTCACGTCCAAGTAATTCACAGTCTTGTAATTTTGTTTCGGAAATCTTTGTAAGGATGCGATTTGCACTGATTATGACTCAAGCAGAAGTGAGGTTAAGGGGAAGGATGGCTTATAGGTCTAACGAGGAGGGTAATCAGTAGTCGACAGCTTAACAGCGTGAACACAATCTCGCTACTCAGCATGAAGTGATTAACTACAAAATTAAGGTTGTTTCTTAAGATGCTGATAGTTGCTCAGCTCGTCAACATATTTCCTGCTTTTATGGAGCCCGTGGGTTCACTACATCATAACAAAATCATCCAGTCATTTAAATGACGCAACATCTATGTAACCTATATATTTTTTAAATCCTTCTACATATACGTGCTACATGTCCCGCCGATCTCATCGTCCTTTATTTAATCACACTCATGATAATGAGAAGTACAAATCAAAAGTTATTCACTACATAATTATCTCCGTCCTCCTGTTCGT